GGCACCTGGGCGGCCGTCCCTGCTCCTTTCCTCCAAACTCCCGGCGCCTTGAAGGAGAAATCCCCCTCGCTCTCCTTTTTTTTCCTGAGCCAGGCGAGACCTTGTTTGCGACAACAGCCTCCCCCCCGCAGGGGCTGGCTCCCTCCCAGCGCGGGGTAAGGGTGTCCCAGCGCCTCCGCGCAGAGCATCCCTGACCTCCCTCTCACCGCGTCCCCGAGGACGCGTCAAAAAGCCACCAGAAGATACCCGCGTCCCCCGGCCCTGCTCGCTGTTTGTTAACTTGCACGGCCCCTCTTTTGGGGCTGATCAAATATGGATATTGCATGTAAAATGCAAGCTGGGCACACGAGCGACACCGAGCAGCTCCCAGTTAACTGTTGTCTACCCTTGCGTTTCTCTGGCCGGGGGCGTGCGGCTTCCCTTGCTTAGACACGTCATGAAAAAAAAAAAAAAAGGGGGAAAAAAAAGACTCATCCTGACTGCAAGCCAGAGATTACCTGGTGGTTTGCCTTTATTCTCCTTTCTCCCAGACGGTGGGGGCAGAATGCAAATTGCCCCTGAGAGGCATTGCAACCCCGTCTGCTTTAAGGCTGAATCAGCTTTCGGAAAAGCAAACAAGCGAGGGGGGGGGAAATACAAGGGCTTGTTCGCAAAGGAAGTGGCCGGGGCTGTCCAAGGGGAGGCAGGCGCGGATTAGCGATGGGAGTGGAAGTTCCCGGCGCTTTAGAAAGGATTTGCCTTCCCAAAACGACACCGTAACTAAAAGAGAGATTCTTGTCCGTGTATCTGGGAGTCAATCACCGCAGTCAAATCTGCTTTAGCCAATCATGAGAAATTTATGACCAAACTGGAATCTACCACTTTGGCAAATGTGATGACGGGCAGAAGAGCTGGTGGAGTGCGAGGTCTGCTTGGAAAAATGCTCTTGCAACATGACAGAGGAAGCGCTATTATTTTAAAATTGTTAATTTATCATACTTCAAAACTGGCGTTATTGGTTAACTTTGTGTTGCAGATGGCTTTCAAAACGTCTGTCTTTTCTCGCAAGCTGTGTTTCCTGTGCTTTAATCTGTTTTTTGGTAAGAGAGCCACTCCAGTTTCAGCTCCTGCTGGGTGATTCACATTTTCAGCACAGCCAGCAGCAGCAATGTGTAAAATAAATAAATAAATAGTTTTATGTGTTCTTTTCTTTTTTTTTTTTTTTTAAAAAAAAAAAATTCTAGAGTAAATATTCCATCAGCTGGTAAACGAATCACAGCCATTTAGAGGGGCGCTAATTAGTAACGCAGTTAACATTGTTTGGGGAGGTATAAATTGCATTTGTGCGTTTCCGTTTGATTTTGGGTGGAGGGAGGAGAAGATCTGGAAGCTGTTAGAGCCTATAAAGAGCCCAACTTCCAAAACCCCTTGGTCCTCCTGGATCCCAGCAGCCTCACCTAGAAACGCCTCCAATTTTAAAGGGATCAGTTAATAACCTCAGAGCACTGAACAGAAATTGGACACTGTGACGCTGAGTCTGTTACGCTCTTGCCCCGTCTTTGTGCATTAGGAGCAAACGGGGTCACTTTGATCTAGTTTTCCTCACGCCTTTTAGAGGGAGCTTTCTGTGGCTCTTCCTCCTCTTCCATTGCTCTGTCTCTGCAGAGGACCACGCAGTCATCGGTCTTTTCACGTAGGTTGACTACCAGAAGAGGAAAAGACCATAGGCTCCGGTTTGGCATCTTATAACAGTGTTTTGCTCGCTCTCGTTCTCACTGAAGTCAGGCAGAACAACCTACATCCTTCCCCTCTGCCCTGCTGCAAACCCAAACACTGTCCTCTACACCTCCATCCTCCAAGGAGCAGCTCAGGGCAACGCTTTCAGCCCCCGAGTTTCCTTTCCAGGATGCCAAAACAGCTGCTCACGCAGGACAGAGCAGGTCATCTTTTTAAGGGGCAGAGGGGGAAGGAAGCAACAAGTAGCAACTGTTTTTCTGGCTGCAGGCAGTCTCCTAACAATTCTGGAGCAGCCTTTAAAGTCATTGCTTGCCGTCAGCAAAGCACCAGGTAGGTACAAAGGGATTTTAGATGAATTTGTCTGGTAGCCGCAGCAGGGAGTTACTGGATCAATTTCCCAGTGCAGAAATAGCCCATAAATGCAGAAATAGCCCATAAATCGAAGATCTCAGATGTTTTCTTCCTCAAATCCATCATGACACTCGCTTTGAGCAAGGATGCACCATCTGTCCCCATGTGGAAACTTCACTTTTTACCGTGCTGTATCAATGCACCGGGCTCCCTTGAACAGCAATAGTCTCTTTAGCTCTGTCTCTCCCTCAGCAGAGCGTGGCCTCAATCCAGCTTCCACCCAGAGGGTACTATTGTGATATAAAATGCTTAATCACAAGGTCATCATTACAGTATTACAGCATTCGGGTCCCCAAGGTAAAAACACATTTATTGGTGGTAGGACACACCACAGCTGGACTCTTTGTTACGGTCTTAGCTCCTGCAGGAGCCAATCCCCCAGGTTTGGACTCAGCAGAGGAGGGGTGGAAATTTTTTTTAAGTTCTGTTTTTTTTTTTTTTTTTAAATAAGAAAAGTCAACTCATTGGAATGGGCTTCTGGCAGGAAAATGTCACTTTGTGACTTTCTGCTTTTAAATGGGAAGGTTTTATCATTCAAAGTGACTGAAATGTTTAAATATTTAAACATTTTATACAGGAAAATTCTGATTGAATTAAAAATTCTAATGTCAAATTGTAAGACAGCACTTGTAAAAACCTATAAAACATCAAAATTAAATGCTTAGAGTTAGGAATCTAAAATTCTGTTGACCCGAATTTGACTTTCCCCATAGTATTTCAGTTTGCAAACATTTTCAGTATGTTTGACTTATTGGCCCGCATCAAGACAAGAGACTATTTGCACCTTTGAGAATTTTCATGCAATAAGAAAACTTCCAGCCCACACTTGTGCAACATGAGAAAACGCTTCTTCTCCTCTCCTCCCCCCTTTTCATCAACTTCCTAAGAGGCTGGAGCCCCTGAGCTCTGCTCTGTTGAGAGGAGCCTGTCTGAGAGTTGGCGGAAGGGATGGTTATGAGCAATGCAGTAAGCGCATATGACTGACCAAATATTATCTCATCCATGGGGGCAAGCCAGCCCTCCTACACCATGCTGTCTCTGCCAGATTCCTCCCTTACAGCAGCCTGCTCTCCAGGTCTGCTATCAGCCAGCGCTAATGCTTCCTACTACGTCCCTCTGCGGCAGCTCTCATCTCCTTGCGTCGGTCTCCCTGGATGTCAGCAGTATCCTTGGCACGTCTCGCTTGTTTAGAACTGTTCAGCTTCCGCAGCCATCGTCTTTGTCATCAAATTCGACTTGAGCAGTCTCCGAGAGCTCCTCTCCACCCGGCAACTTCTGCTTGGGAACAGGAGGAGAACCCAGGCTCCCCATCACAGCTTCACTGTTAACCCACGTTAGATTTGACCAAAACGTGACAAGATTTTACAGATCATTTATCATAGCATGTAACAAATTTTTTTCTTTCCCCATAGAATTCTGGAAAGATTAAACATCAGAAGACAAGCTCCTGATGTTTTAAAATGTGGTTTTGGTGCCTTTCCTTTGTAAAATATTTAAACTGCATTTTTCCTAGCATTTCTGTACCAGTGTGAAGGCCTAGGAATGCACTTGCATAATGCAACACGTACAGGAAAAGGAGAGCTGAGATTCCTCAGTGATAGGAGGATTCCAGGAGCTGGGGACTCGAGGAAAGCATCAAATAGCTCGAACCTTTAAAACATAAAAGCTGGTGGTCTCAAATCTGAGAAGTCTGCAGCCGTTCAGACAAAAAGCAAAAATACTTTGGTACTCAACAGGTTTCTTACAGATTTAGCACTAGGGGATGACCTCACCTCTGGGCACCACATCCAGGAGAGACCAGCCTTTGTCTGCAGAGTAGATGAGGCAGGAATTGCAACTGAAGACTTTTTCTAGACTTAGGGCATCCAAACCAGTGCAGGCTCGTGTGGATTCTCTAGCGTCTAGTGAGGCTGGGGCTCCCAGCCTAGACTTTCTCTCCCTAGGCACATTAGAAAGGTCTCTCCCCATTTTCATTAGGCTCAGCGGAAGCTGAGGGCTCAGCTACTCAGAGATAACATGCCATCACCTGACTCCTTCCCGAGGCCATTCGCAGAGCCTCCACCCTCCCACACAATGGCCTTTATCTCCGAGGTTGTTCCTGCCCCTCCCTCCGTCTACACCTTCAGGGATCCCAGCGGCGAGGCTTTGACACCCCAACCCAGTCGGAAAGCATCCAGCTCGCTCGGCCTCCACACATGCAGCGAGCCGAGCGCGAGCTCAGCACGGCGCCCCCATCCAAGGGAGCGCGTGTCCTGCCTGCCCGGAGGACCGGGCCGTGGGCCCGTGCAGCAGCCACAGCCCTGCCAAGACGAACCAAAACTCACAGGAAGGAAAATGAACACGGCCCTGGCGAAAACCATTGTTTGCTCTGCACGCACCTGAAAGGACGCGCTTTCCCTTTTCGTGCCAGCACACCTTTCCCTGTCCTCGTTCGCGATTAGCTTCCTAGCATACAAGAGGATATTATTCTCGGCAGGATTTGCCCCCTGCTTCTCTTCCTCCTGCATAAAACGGGCATAATAACACCCTACCTTCCAGGGTTTTTGAAAGCTTCAATTAAACAAACTGCTCTGAGATTTGTGTAAGAGGAAAATTAAATCAACATCCTATTGTAAAGCTGGAGTTACTGCATGCATATTTTTGTAAGAATATTCATGTCTCTGTGTGAACGTGTGTAAATACATACCCACCTTCATTACAAGGCTTGTCTCAGAAGGGAAGAAATCACTTGAAGTTACAGAAAAGCCAGTTTAGTTCTCCATATAACCTGGATCGACCTCTTCGCATCCATCCTTGGCATTGAATGTGGAAAAAACATGTGTGACTATGTAATTAAAGGCTGTAACGTGCAGTATCGGCACAGTGCCTTGTGCCAGGTCCCATGGATGAAGCAGTGAGAGGAGACTGGCCAGTTTTCCTTCTAAAAGAGGAAAGTCACATCCAGGGCACCCCTGGTGAAGGGTGGTGGGGCATCTCTCCATTTATAGCTGTATGGCAGATCCCCAGCGTGCCCTGTGAACGTCACGGAGATGTGAGCCTGGCCTCTATGACCCAGTCAAGTAGTGACAGCAAACAGCGATTTCCCACTTCAGTTGCAGTTGACGGAAAGTTTCACAGGCCACAGGATTGTGGTGGCAACACCCCAAAACCCCCAAATACAATGAAAATGCAAGAGCTCCAAGAGTCCTTTGGACTACAAAGCCTTAAAACAATCTGAATACGGGGGTCGAGTCTAGCTCTCCCACCCTAAAATCTAACCACTGCTCACACGCTCTGTGTTGGCACTTGTAGTGAAGGCTCTTCGGGGTTAGTCTATGCAAGGGAGGTTGGATTAGGGCAGCAGGGTCCCATTCTCACCAGGACATTCCTACTTCCTGGAGACAGCCATGTACCGACAGGCTGGGAGCTCCAGGCAGCTGCTGACATGTTAGCGTTTGCCATCAACGCTTTCCAATCACAGCCAGGTCCCACTGATTCAACTGCTGTCACATGCGAGTGAGGGTCAAAGACTGCATTTTAAAGAGTAAAAGCCTTCACTGGAAGGGCCCTTTCATCACACCAACATAGCTTCCAGGCAGGAGGCAAACAGCGAAGTGCACATGGCTAAGCTGCTCTCGTTTTTCCCTGCTTGTTCACCAGCCAAGTTGCCAGGTCTGGCTTGCTCTCTCCATAACAAAGGTAGCTGTATCCCACTTAGTTCAAATTAGCCCTCACTGTTGCCTACACAATTAATTTCCTGCACTGCGTCCCACTTGCTCTGCAACACAAATTCCCATCCAGCAAGGCATTTAAGCACAGGAACTTACTGCCTTCAGCAAGAGCTAAGCTCCGATTCCAGAGCATTGCTGATTAAGCACAGAGTTGACAATTCCTTTTCCTCTAGAGCGCCTCATGTTGAAGGAGACTTCTCTAAAAAGTTCCTCCCTCCTCCTTACTTTTCTAATCATTTCTATCATGCCCTGAAGGCGTAAGACAATGCTGCTAGAATCAGAGTGTTATGGACAACTGTACAAAGAGGTATGTGCCAGGCGCACACCGCTGCCAGGGAGATGAATAACTACAAGAGCAAAACTGATCCTGGGCATTCAAGGCTTTCTGCTAATTCTGATTCTGTCTCTTCTACGCTGGACCAGCTTCCCCCAATATGGCAAAACCAAAAGTGGTGGCACTCCTCTGATTGACAAAGAAGGTCCAGGTGACCAATTAGGAGAACGAGGAAGAGACCTCCTCCCATCCCTGCATGATCCAGTTTCTTTCCATCTACCTTTACAAAGATGGAGGGACACTCCTCAAATCCCTGAACAAGGTGATCCCTGCTGTCTCATCCTTCTCAGCAGCCTCATTTCTTCCAGGCGCCAAAACCTGTGCATCTTTTGTTTGTGCTCAAGAAAAACAGTAAAGTTCAGCTTGGGCCTGTGATTCCCAGCGTGAATAAAGCCTGGGACTAGCCAGGGGCCCAGCCTGGCTGGACTTTAGCATCCCAATGCTAAAGATAAAAAGAAACTCTTTTAGCTTTGGTTAGGATGGACAAGCAAGACGGAGAACAGCAGGTATGTTTACACACAGGTTCTTACCGCTCACTCCTCTGTTTTATTTAAAAAAAATCAGGTCTTGATGGTCCTCGAGGTCTATAACTAAATAGAGACCTGGAAATGATGGTGACACTCTCTGAGAAGGCAGATCTGAAGTGTTTGGGAGAGAAGACAGTTGTGTCTGGTCTCAACAGAAGCTTTTAATGACTACTGTTCTAACAATAAAAGTTACTAAGGGTGATTGCTATGTTTCCCACATTCCTATGCTATCAGAAAGGTTCTGAGAAAGCTCCAATTTTCAATGGAATTTCAGATGTACTCTATTTATTTGGAAGTGAGAGTATCGGGAATACTTCCAGCTTTCTATTCTCTCTACCTCTCCTGCACCCCTCCTCCCCCCTTCTGATTTCTAGCTCATCTGTGAAATCAGGATGCTGCAAGAGGAAAAACGTACCTAGGGACGCAAAGGTTATTTTGCCAGTCACTGGAGCCCTAAGCATCAATACTGGATTGAAAGCCTTTCTGAAGGCGTGTTTCTGGCTCATCCTAAGTCACAGGCTTGATGCCATAATCCCTACATGAAAGGGTTATGCAGAGGGTCAGAATAGGTGATGAAAAAGTTTCCTTCCAGCCAAAACAATCCACGAACCTCCAAGGAAATCCACCATCCCCTGGCAAGAGTCAGGACCAGGCTTCCTGAAGTGTAACAATGTCTGGCTCCAGAATCACAGGGGCAGTGCCTCAGAAGGGCTATGAAATCATCTCTTCTGCTTGGGAGGTTCGACAAGCTACGTTGGCAGTGCCTGTCAGCTACAGACCACAAGGCTGGAGCACTGGGAACAAAACCAGGGCAGATATGCAGGGCAGAATGGCTTTAAAGCTAACGTGACACTGCTAAAGGGGAAAACCAGAAGGGCACTCAACCTGGCTTTTCAATGTAGCAAAAGTGAGTTCGGGGATCTGCTTTGCACATGCTAGAAAGCCATTGTGCAACCCAGTCTGCTTAGCAGGCCCAAGGTGGGAATGGCAGAAGCTGCTGCAAGTCAGGACCAAGGTACCTGTGCAGAACTGTGCGTGGGAGGCAAGGCCTGGAGTAGTAGGAGCGCAGCAGTTTCAGAGAGATTAATGAAGGAAGCTCAGACAGTATCTATCTGTAGGAGGCCTGGCTCAATCCAAGGCCAGTAACTTGTTGCTCTCTGAACACCAGCAACATAACCGGAAACAAAAGCATGTCTGCCCAGCACGGTTCACTTTGAGTGATGGCTTAAATACTTCAGCAGAAGCGGAATGAGGAGCATTAAGAAAGGCATTGAGCCACATTAATGGCTGCAGGCTCACAGGGCTGCAAGTTTTTGCATGAAGCCCAAGTTAAAACCAGGCAGACAACCGGGATGTAGCCTTCAAAGTAGTAACAAATGAATTACTAGACTTCATTTTCTCCCATTCAGGAGTTTACACTCAAAGGGGAGTCCATCAACTTTAAATAAACCATGTTTATAATTAAAAATATATTTTCCTGTGTTGCTTACAAAACCTTGGATGATTAATAAGGCATTTTTCACACTAATTATGGTGCTTGTTTACCCCAGCCAATAATTCTTCTTCCAGGGAGATAACGATATCCCAGAAGGAGGGCTCCCTTTAGGAACGAGGAGGGAAAGGACCCCAGGGAACTGCCTCAGGTACCAATAACACATGGGAGGTCTTTCAATGGAGGCAACAGAGCTGGTTACATGACTCATGTCACGTTAAACGCTCACAGGACTTCTTTGCTAAGCCTGATTTTTTGCCTGGATAAGACGAGGACACAGGAAGTTGCTCAGCTCCCAGAGGCCTTGAGCTGTGGTTTGCCTAGACTTTGCTTGAGGTACCAACCTTGCCAAGGGGCCAGACTTTGTAGGTCTAGCTCGAAAACATAACAGTGGCTGCACGGTCTCTGGTTTGAGGCAGGCTTGTGCCCAGCATTAGGGGCAAGTGGGAGAGACTGAAAGGGAATTTAGACTCTCCTCGAGTGCCTCCTCTGTCTTCAGCACTGTGGTTCCCTTCAGCTTCTTAAGCCCACAAGCTCAGCAGCAGGCATTGGAGAGCCAAGGAACACTCACTCCTCCCGGGTGCAGGCACATCTACACTATGCCCCCTAGTGAAGATGCACCAAGGGCAGGTCAGCAGTGAGGTATGATTTTTGAGTTGCCTCTACAGAAAAGGAGAGAAAACGTAGAAGCAGAAAAGGTCACAAAGTAGCTGGGAAGGAAAATCATCTCTGTACTGCATTTCTGCCTTCCAAAAACAACTGCTTCAAGCCCTATCTTCTCCTATGTCATTTGCAGACACTCAAAGGTCTCTTAACCCTTCAGGAAAAGGACAGAAGCGCAACAAATTGGACAAGAATTCTCTTCCCAGTTGTTTGATTCCTTTTCAATACTATTTTAAAAACCTAGATTTCAAAACAGCAATGGCACATCTTCATTCCTGCGGCAGCACTGCAGCCTGCCTTTGTCCTGGGTGAATGGATTTGCTGGGTCATCTTTCTGCAGGAAGGGCTGGAAGATCCTGACCCAAAAGCCTTCCATTAGCAGAACATACTGATACCTGCAGGGTGACAAACCGACTGTGGAAGTTATGAACCGAACGTGCTGCCTGATGACACAGCAGAGAGCACCACTGCAATTACTACGGCCCATTCCAATGCTCTACAAAGCAAGATGCTCCACTCCACTCACTGAAGACTCTTGTAGACTCTCCCAATGTAGCAATGACACTTCCTCATCTCTTTATCCTTTCTCCCTCATTTCAAGACAGCAGTTATTTCATCACCTATGTGTCCTTCTAGTTGACAGTTATTCTTAGGCAATTGTAAGCCATGAATACAATTGTCCAGCTAACAGAAGATACATGCTCCATGCAGCATGAACTGCTCTTGAGCCAGCAGTGCACACATCATAGGCCTTTTTGCCTCTTGAACTAATACAAGGCATCAGGCAAGAGCCACGATAATGGAAGAGAAGACAAACTACAGTCACTTAATAGTGTAACAAATCCTTCAGATCAGGGGCCCAGAAGCATGTGAGTTTCTGTGGAAGGCTGATTTATATTAAATCAAACCAGCACTGGAATATGTTACCTCAAAATTTATTCTAATATCTGCTGTACCACACCTTCAAAATAATAAAAGAAAACAAGCTGAGATAAAAGCTATCTGCTGTCAAAGGTGGGGGAATACCTTCAGAAAGCCACAGCGTTGGCTTCCTCTAAAAAAATTAACATAAGCGGTAGACAGTCTTCAGGTTTCTTATCAAAGACAGCTGTCTTGTCTACCTGGGTTTAGCACACCACAACAGAGTAGTTGTGACCTGGGATCTTGTGACCTGGGGGTTGCAGCGAACAAAAACGGTTCTGACCTTTCGAGCAGAAAAAGCAAGTAGTGGATTCAACGTAAGCCCTGGCCCCGTGAACTGCTTCTGATTCCCTGCACTCCAGAGGTGCCCTAAACTGGCAATAGCCCCACATTTTTGAAAAATCTGGATCCGCCCGGATGTGTACAGCACCTGAGCCATACTATACTAGCTCCTCAGATGAACATCCTTGTGGACAGTAATGGCAAGGCAGCACTATTTGCTTTCTCTGCAAGTCACCTGCACACCATGAGGCATCCATGAGGAAGCTGGCACAGAAAAGCTAGCATGCTCTCAGTTCATGCCCTCATTCAGTGTAATTTAACATCTGGACATGCACAAGCCTGCAAAAACAGAAGAGAGAGGGATGAAATAAGCTGGCTAAGGGATCCATATTAGGCCTAGCGACCAGTTGCAGAGAAGAGCAGATTTACAGGTTGCATGGTTTTTGCTCCCAAGACAATAGTACACCGCACAGAGGTGAGGTCAAAGGTTTCCTTCTGCTTCATATGGAAATTCAGAGTAAGAGTGTCTTGTTACTCAACTTGCTCAGCTGCTGTAAGACAGGAGATAATTCATGTTTTTAATAACTTAAGAAATGGTTATTTAAAAAACCAAGACTGCGAGTAAGACATTAGGTACTGCTTGGTCTCCTCTTAGAGCACTCGTCCTTAGCACAACTCACTTGAAGTGACGCTAGGCATTGTAAAAGGCGCTGAGGTCCTGCGTGTGCTGGCCTTCCTATCACAACATCCCACTAGGAGGAGACACTGCACAAGGCCACAGAGAAGCTCCCATCTAAAAAGCATGCTCCTTTTCCTCACAGCTGAGAGGCAACAGGCTTGCGGTATTTGCACTGGATCCATACTCGATACATCGTCATTTGTTTCCCACGGTTCACTTGCAACCGCCGATCAACCAAATTCTGGATCTTCTCCAGCCCAGCTGTTGTGAAGAGATCATCTAATTCATCTAGAAGCAGAGAGTAGGAAATTAAAGATGCTATAGCTTTCATTTAACTGATACCTACTCATATCGGGGGTGAAATTGAGTTGAAAGATTGGCTAGAAGAAACTCTCAGTCTCAACCTGACAGAGAAACGTAAAGATCACATAGCATTTCACTGCTGTATTACGGGTGGATTGAGATCACAGTTTATCTAGATTCCCTTGAGTTTACCTTCTGCTAAGGAAGGAAAGAAGTATTTGGAGGACAACTAGAATTACAGAAACTGGACAAAGAGAAAGCAACAGCAGTTCCAGACATAGCTTTTGCTTCTAGTAACCAATTAAGAGGGCCTACTCTGGCCACTAGGGACAGACCCCTTCCTTCCCCTTGTCTCCAGAGGGATTTCAGAATCTGTAAGAGCAAAGAACAGGATCAGACCTACGCTTTTAAAATGGCATCAATAAGGTCTGTGCTATATAGGCTGGAGGGGAACCGGATTCATTAACCGGATTTCATTAGTTGGAAAAAAATCCTTTAAAAAACACACACCCAGCTGGGGCCCAATCAAAGCACTAAGAGTCCTGAAGGCTGCAACACTTCTACTGGCAGGTATTCCTGACCAAGCAAATAATTATTATAGTGCCCCAGCACAGAGGCCGTGGGCAAAGCCAGATCGAGTCCTGCTGAGCAGCAAAGAGCTAGTTCAACTGCAGCCTGGGAGCACGTGATTTATATGGAGTTTCTGTAGAAAAAGGCTAACAGGTCTCAGCTTGTGCTCTTTTATCAGATGCCTGCCATAGTGAAGCGTTTGCCAGACACGCATTAAACATTATTATTGTTGTGACAAACAAGCCTCGTGCAGTGGAGAAGGGAACAGTTCATGGTAGTCATGCCATGAACTCTAAAAACTCTAAACTCTAATACTGACCATGCAAATGGGCCTCAGTGGAACCGACTGGAGGTGCAAGTTGGTGGTCAGCGGAGAGATATACAACCCCTGTTGAGAATACGAAGCAGCAACAGAACTAGGGAGGCTGCTGCAGCCCTGTGCCAAACCATGCTCTTCCTATTCCCTCCTGTGAGAATGGTACAGTTAAAAGAACTTCCTTCAAGTGAAGCTCCTCCAACCCCACCCCTCCCAGTGAAGTAAACTCACTGGTCTTTCTTTCAGACTATCCTGCACTAAATGAGGAGTGCACCATTCCACATTACTATCAATAAGTGACAGGCCCAGGTCCCCACGCAAACGTTAGAGACTGAACACTTCATACCGCTCTAGGAAATACAGGCTGGAAAGAGCTAGGGGCAAATATTCAGAGTACATGGGCAAAAAGAGGTGAGTAGAGTCAGGTGGATGTTTTCTAGTCTCCTACCTTGTGTGAAGAAGTAGACTCTGGTGCCATCACCTCTCACATAGAAGTTATCAGACAGACATTGACCTTAGGGCAAGAGGGATTTAAACAGTTACCAGCTATCATTTAAAAATCAACAACTGCTATCCAACTGCATATAATGACAAGAGGCACTTCTCCTCCCAGCACACGCTGTGCTTAAGGGGAATTAAGGAACTGCCTCTTAAAGAGGGCAGAGACTACTCCAAAGAAGCATCATCTATTACTGATCTGGCAAGACTCCCCAGGGGAAGGGAAAATACCTTTCTTAAACCGAAGCTGGGCCAGGTCATAACGGCCATAATCTCGTAACAAAATCATTCCTCCTGGCTTCAGAAGGCGACTCAGTCTGTTAACAATGCACTGCATCCTGAAGAAAGAGTAAATAGCAATATTCAGCAGCCTGCAAAATCATGCTTGTTTCCATAGCTTATTAGAACAAATTCAGCTCTCCAAAAAGAAAGTACAAAGTTTTACATGTGTTTAAACCTCTTAGGAAAAGCTACCAAAAGCTAGCACTTTTCTGAGGTCTCTCAGACTTAGGTGGGTTGATTTTATTTGGCCATCTTATTTCTGACACTCCCCAGTTCTGCTTTTTTCTACAAGCACAACTTAGCCCTTTGCAGCAGGGATTAATTGCTCTCTCTTACTAATTACAAAAGTTACTCCACTGGTTTCTATAAAACGAGCAAAAATGTGATCTTGAAGAAAAATGCTGTGGAACAAAAATAAAGGGAACAAGAAAGAGAGAACAAGACTATTTATGTCATTTATTTGCATCACATTCCTCATTCATTCCCTGCTCTTCTAGGTTGCAACACATTGTCACACTACTGTCCCACACGTTGTCACGGTTCTAAACTGTTCCAAATCTGTTCCCTCCCTTCTCCCCATCTTCTATATGAGAAATTCATCTGGCCTTTGCCTATAAATCTAGCAGTGTACCTTCCACAAAGGAGTGCTGATTGCCCAGTGTGGCTGCAGTTCAGAACAGGTGAGCTGGGACCGCAGCAAGACTTCAACTATAGCCACTCAGCACTTCAGAAAGTCGCATTTGCATTGTACCACAACTAAACCAAAGATTTGCTGCAGAAGCAAGTACCTGCACATTCCATTTGCAGGGGATTAAACAGAAAACACAAACTGGGCCAGACACAGAGCAAAGTTTTCCTCAACTTTAATTCTCCTTCATATGAGGAGATCTATTTTGAAGCTTTACACATACCTAGCAGAGCCCTGACACATAAATACACACCAAACACCTTGTTTTTATAATTTTTGCATTAGCTCTACTAGTCCCACCTCCACACATTCACCCATTGTGGGCTCAGGTACATCAGCCTAATCTAAGAATATTGCCAAGGACACGTAGAAGTATTTCCCCATTAGCTGTTGCCCGTCAGTGCCCATCAAATGTTTCCTAAGTACTCCGTTGAAGATAGACACTTTTCATTTAACAAGATTACCTCTCTTTCCTCCTACTGCAGAGTTCATGCTAATAATAATTCAGCTTTGAACTGCCAACAGCCTCTCTGCAGCATGTATGTAACACAAAATGTGAATCATACCACGTAATATTTCCTTACTTCTTTAAACAAACTACATGGTACTATATGGTACTACACGGTACACATCATTTTACTATCTGGCAAGTGCTGAAACTAAATAACACTGAGGAGTACAGTGAGGCATTTATTAGCGAGTCTAGTTGCTCTCTCTGGCTTTTTTGCAACAAGATCTCTTGGCAACAAGTAAATGAAGTAGGAGAGTCTTCTTGATATTCCTGTAATCACTAGGTTGTGTATCCAAAAGAGGCACAACTTTAAAAATGCATCAGTCATGCAGGCTGTTTTAGTCCTTGACATTACTGTCAGATCAGTAAAATTTTACTGACCCCAGTTGTAGAGATGAACAAATTGAGACACTAAGATTACGGAGACATTGCCAGGGATTTTTAGGTCCAAGATGTAGGTTGACAAAACTGTAATAAGAAGCCTTAACCAAACTGAATGAAACAGAAGAAGGTGCACAGCTTGGCATATGCTTCCCAGTGGTCACTAGCAACACTAACAGAAAGTTTTTACTTTGGCTGTATTGTTTTAAAGACTCCCTATTAAGAAACTCCAGTTGCATGTGCATTGTCTTCTGCTATCACAAGGAATTATTAGAACTTACTTCTCTGGAAGAATCGCTGAGAGAACAAAAATAAGAATAACAATGTCGAGACTCTCTTCTGGCATTGGGAAAGGACTTTGGTCATTGCACAGGTCATGGACAAATGCAAAGCAGCGAGAAGAATCGTATTCCGCATTGGTCTGTAATTAAGGGGAGAGATGTGAGAGGACACGTTTGCAGACCTTGAACTCAGTGATATCTGGACCTAGGAGCATTTTAACTTTCACGTAATAAAATGGAGTGCCCAAAGGCTTGTTTCAGCCTCACTGGACTGACTGAAGCATATAGCGCTATTCTACTGTACAGTGATGTCAGACAGGGATAGGGGTGAACTGTGAAAAATAAGTACACATGGGAGATTTACACAGAGCTTTGAACTTGTTACATTCAGTCCATCAGCACTGCCAAAAAAGCAAAACTGGATTGAGGGATTATTGCAATTTTATGGTCAGATTTCCCACTAATAGTGGTTAGAAGCAAGGGATTTACACTGTTAACCTAAAAATCTTTACAAAAGTGAGTGTGTCAGGGCTCCTCTCTATATCCCTGAAATCAATATTCATTTCAGTTACAAGCAAATTATGTCATACACCCCAAATATCATACCTGGCTGCCTAAAGTTAGGCTCTTATAATCACATTTAGACTCCTAGAATAAGTGGTCTTTTTTCTAAAGCTGCTACTATGGACTGTAGTCAGCATCTATAAACAGTGCTTGTGATAGCTGAGCGGATGAAATGGTATGCTGGATCTACTGCTGCGTCCCACATCTTATCTCATGAAGTGACCGATTACATTTGAGACTCCATACATTCTCAGTTCTGTTCTGACCCCAAATTTGTCAGCAATATTTGTCATTTGACTAAACCACCTCCAACCACCCAACCACCACTCCACCACCCAACCACCTCCTCCAAAGACAATGGTACCCCTCCTCAGCTGTCTGTGCAGAAGCGATCAGACCATGTTCCCAGAACTGCCGTGACAGTAATGCACACACAAATCAAAACCAACTTCAGCTGTTGTTAAAAAATAGCCTGAAAATTTTCAAGGTTCAGCAGCAACTCAATTAAAAGAGCACTGGATTTAGAGAAGTGCTGCCAACCACAGGGGAAAGAAAATCTGGTTGACAGGTCTGCTGCCAACAGGACATTTTGTGAACTCCTGCTTCCTTCATTTCTACAATCCTTGATGGCTCATCTTCCTGATTTACCAGTATCATAGGTCAGCACCAGGGCTAGCTAAAAACAATAAGCTGCCCACAGAGCTCGACCGGTGGCAGCTTTGGAATATTTGTGTTTAGGTGCAATTGGCATCAAGTACTTACTACCTTCATAAGTCACTGCTGAGTTTACCTGGACAAGATCCACAGCTATCGTAGAAAAATCACAGCAATAAACAAAAAGCCCTGGGTCACTGAAATAAATAAAAGAAGCTATCATCATTTGTATAAAGGTGCTCCACAGGAATTACAGAAGTATCTTGAATATCCAGAATTGAGAGCCAGAAATCTTATGTTTTAGTCTCTCTGCCAATGATCTGTTGTGTAATATCTTGTGGATCACTTTGCTCCTTTATGCCTCAGTTATTCTCATATGCAATTGACTGCTTACAATTCTGTCAGGAGAAGGAGAGACTGCAAGGCCTGTATGAAAATGCTTTCAGAAAGAGACATGCAAACTAGCAGCATGTTTTATTGGTTGCATTCTAAGACCAAAGATTTCCAAGCTCAAAACACTGTCATTTGAAGTCACAGATCGCAAATGTGTCATTTGCATCTGGCCTCTTCTCTATGAGATTGCCTATACTAAAAACACAGGCAGCACTTTTCCAGTTGTTTTCAGATGTTGGTACATCATGCAAGGAAAAACCTATTGAGAAGTACTTACTTGTTGGTTTGTAAAATTGGGAAGACTGTATTTCCAGCACCACAGCCAACCTACACAGACAGAGTGGTGGGTACATAGTTAAAATCGTTTCTTCAGCACGTCCCATGCAGCTAATCTCAAATCATCTCTCTACAGCCAAGCTACAAAGAACAACTCATGAGTAACAACTGAGTATAGCAATGAGCATTTGCAAATATGACTGCAAGATCTGACTACGATCAGCTCTGGGAAGCAGGCACACATATAATCATTTGTGGGAAACCACTAAGTTACCCCACTTCTAGCAGGAGTCCAACTAACGACCTATATATTGTCATTCTTGAAAACTGTTATTGTTGGAATCCCAAGCATAACAATCAGTATGAGTCACTGAAGCAGGGGCAAAGGCCATGGGTTAGTTGCATTCACTTCCATACAAAGACAAAGCAATGGAGAAAGAAGTTTGCTTTATTACACCCTGCTATTTCAGAGTTTCCTTGACTAGACAGCTCTTCCTCAAGTTACAATGAGGCCTGCAATGATTCTGCCTTATTGTTCCTTCTACTTGTTCCCATTTGAAGAGAAGATGGCCCGTGCAACTGAGTTTGGGGTATTTGTTTCTGAAAGTTTAAGAAATCAGTAAAATTGAAAAAGATTGAGCAGAAAAAACACCAGTGATGACCTTCAGTGACAGAAAGCACTGAAAATACTCATGTGAGACATGAAAGCCACGATGACTCAAGAACATGAAAGCCTGAGGAAGTTTCAAGGGCTCGGATCAAGCATAAATCTAAAGAACACTTTATGATGACTCCCCCTGGAAGGGCAGAGCTCCCACAGAACACAAAGCATTCCACAGAAACATTAGTATCTACAGTGAACAAACTTCAGAGAGGTGGCAGAGCAAAACCCATTACCAGCTACGAGGAGTCTAATATTTAGAAGTCCTACAGACTTTTCTGGGACAACCATGATACCCTTCTAAGCACTAGTCTGTGATTCATCCTGTTATTAAATGGACCACAAGCATCCCCAAACCCAGCACTTTTATTTTCTTGGTTTCTTTGTTTTGTTTTATACTACACAAGGCAAACAAGAGCCAGGACTAAAATTCAGAACATAAGGGACAAGAGAAAGCTTTCTACAGATCTGTAAAAGAATCAACTTCTTATACAAAAGAATGATTTTTATAAGCTTGTTTCAACATCAGATAGTAATAGTTTGCATTTTAAACTTAGAATCCTCCTATGGTCCTTGTGCTCTGCCAATTCACAGTCTGAATCAACAGAATCCCAACAGATTGGATTCATTTCTAAGTGGCCCTCTGGTTTTGGCATTATACTGACTTACTCAAGTCAGTTCATCCCATCCACTTGCTGTTTGTCATGAAATACATTTTTACTTCATTACCCAGTCACACTCATACCGATACAAGAGATTACTCTCCTGGGACGGCTTCCCTGAATCCTTCCCTCATATCAAATCCCAGCTAAAAGGAAAGCTCTCTCCTTTCCTGTATTAGCTTTTCCCTTGTCATTCAGTTCCGTAAAAGGCTTTGAGACAGGCTTCTTTGGAAAACTGTGGGTGAAGCTCTTATTAAACTATATGACTTGGCAAAGTATGTGATGACCCACTACATATGAAACAGTATCTTCATGCCAAATAGATTTTAGTTGTAACTTTTACACAGCTGGGAGATACGTTATGCTTTATTTTACAGACATTACCTCTAATATACGGTAAGTTGCAGAGGATCCTGGGTAATCTCCATCACTTTGATTCAGCTCACTGTGCTTCTGGGTAGCCGACTCCTCTGTGCAGAACGTGGGTTTGCTTTTTATCAGGTTTAACTCATTCTCTGCCCTGGTCCCCAACGAATGTCCATTTTCACAGCTTCCCAGGCCTTCACTGTTGGATTCCTCTTCATAACTGCATTTGTACCCAGAAACCTCATTTTGACTTGGGTTTCTATTTGGTGCCAGCTCAGGAAATTCAGTGAACAACCAGTGTCTGTCCTTGAAGAAGCCATTTTCATGGATTTTATAAAAGTCATCCCAGTACCTGTTAGCATTCACCTCATACTCCTCTGTAAATACAAACAAAATTGTTACCAGCAGTCAGATCAGAAGGTGCCAGACTTTAATCAGTTCAGACAGTCAGGGATCAGCACAGACATCTATTTCGCAATCTGTTTTAATAAGCAAGGTTATTGATTGAGAATCACCTTGATTTAAATTGGGCCATCCCACATGAACGCTCAGCCTGCCTCCTCACAGCCACTTTGCTAGAAATAAAAAGGGGAAAAGAGATAGATGAAGAAACTGTCCGTCTTCTGGTAGGATTTAAAAGAACTTGGCAACAGAAACAGCCTCTTTGAGGAAGACTGGAATGAGGAAGTCCAGGTTTTACCTCCCTCTCTAACACTAACTCGTTCAATTCACTGGAGCGATTCATTTGAAACCTCGTGACACTAAGTGGCAAGCACTTACAACTTCTAAGGAATCCTATGACAGGCATCCGGAGCTGAAGAGCTCCTGTCTGACATACTACCCTGTTTTTCAAATGGAGGAACAGAAAAACTAGTCAACTACACATGCACGGCCTAAAGCTCAATCAGTATGTGCACAATACTCCAAGATTACAGGATAGCATGTTTTAGAGAAGTATTGCTACTGTCCAGTCCACGGCACTTTGCTTTCCACAGTTTTGCGCAGGTTTGAGTAGCGGGCATTTATGAAATCACAACAAAAGAGAGGAGTCAAAAGAAGTGACCATTGTCCTCAGCCTTAAAGGACTAGCATAGAGCTAAGGTGGATAGATTAAAGTTGATAAGAATTAACTTTAGCAGCAAGCATTATCGTTTTCACACCAAGTGGATATATTCCAGTAGCATGCTGGAAGAACTCTTATGATGCCATTATCTAATGAAATTAGAGTCATCTGCAGAATTCCTTCCACATAACTTGATATATTTCAAATCAAGTTCAGTTCTGGAGGAGCTATTTTCCACGGGACATTAAGAATGCAATTGGTTTTCTGAATTCTCATCAATGTCATGAGCTTTCTGACCTGGGAAATGAGAGCTCATTATAGCATCCTATGTTTGCAATCAGCAAGAGGTATCAACACCCTGGGCCAGAGATCCCAACTGCATTTCAATAGCATGCAACTCCTTAGTCATCTTTGCACAGCAACAAGTTCATTATGGAATGCAAACGATTCTCCTGCAATTAAGGATGATGACTGCATGTGAGAATGGACAGCCTCTCTCCAACATCTGCTAAGAACAGGGTTAAGAGAAAAAGCCGTCATTTTAAAATTGGAGATTAATATTATCTGAAGTACGGATTATTTATTAGCCTTTCTGAGAAGAATACAAGTGTTTAGAAGACATCAGAAGGAAAAAAAGTAAAAAGGAGCCAAGAACGCCTGGAAAAATATACAGCCTCAGCCAAATATAGGAAGAAAGATTGCTTTAACAAAGAACCAAAAGTCAGTCCTAAGTATATTTTTGTAGGATCTGTCCCTGAAGCACAAAGAGCTATATATAAAACTAAATCTCTTCATCTCAGTTACAAGGATTTGCTCCTTGTCCTTAAACCCCCAGCCAAAAGAAATTTTAATGTCTGATATTTGACTACAGCAGTCACATTTGTGCCGTGATCTCACCATACCGCAAAGTAAGCAAGGTCAACTCAGTTTAATATTTGCATAGGAGACACTCAAGGAATGCTAATGTCAGAGAAAGAAGTGTTACTGATCCAAACTGGATTCAGCACTAGGGACTGAAACTGTTACTTCTTCCCTGCGCTAGTCGGGATACACAAGGCTGCTGGGACTGGAA